AGTAAATCTGAACGATTTTACATCGTTTGTTAAAATTACATTTAAACAATTTCAGCTTAAGTGCCCCCTTGTGGTAGATTGTATGTGGCTCCTGGTGAAAGTTAAAACCTGTTGCAGTTGAGTCGATTCTCACTCCTAGCGACTCTAAAGGGCAGAGTAGGAGTGTCCCTTAGGGTTTCCAAAGTGGTAATCTTTATGGAAGCAGATTGCCACGTGAAAGTTTTAAAGTCATGTAAATTGCTCAGACAGTTGACAGTATATGAATGTTTGGTATCTGCCGTCTTTGGAAGTCCAAAAACTAAAATGATGAATCTCAGTGGACCTTTTGCTACTGGGACTTGGATTGAAGGGTATTTGTCCCTAAAACAAAGTCTAATCAGTGAACAGTTTTTTTTTATTGCAGTGTTAGCAGTTTATAGAAATTAAGTGTTTCTGTTATTGCTCTTATTTGTTTAGTAAGTGTTTAAAAGTATGTTATTTGTATAGTTTAGTGAAGTATATAATAAAAGAAATATCCTTACACATGAGCTTATAGTCTGCCTGAGGATCCAAGATAAACATTCAGCACACAGTTTAGAGATCAGTTTTAATCCAGTATGTAAGTGGGCCAATCTTCCTTAAATATTGCTTTCATCCTACCAGCCTTTGTTCTGAAGTTGAGACTGCCAGTAAAATAGGAATTGCCAGAGTAGATTAGCACCCTCTTCCTGTCAACATTTTGAATAAAATTTTGAGCACAACATTTTCAAACTCTTGTATTTTTTTATTTTCCAAATGAACTAAGTTACACTTTTTAAACTATACAGCTTTCCATCCCCACTTCCCCATTCCAGGTCATTGATACACACTTGGTTTAGTTGCCATCAGATCTGTCTGTAGTCCAGACCTTTCTGCCCAGGTTCAGTTCTGTATATCTAGCAGCCTCCTGGACATGTCCACATGGCAGGCACCTCAGACGCAGCCTGTATGAAACTGAACTCCTCATTTCCCCCGATTACCTACTCTTCATTCAGTGTTCCTGTCTTAGTAAATGGGATCACTAGCCTATCAGCTCCTCAAGCTAGAAACCTAAGAATAATCTTTTGTTCTATCTTGTTTATTATATCTTTTAAATACTTCTTGAGTCTTGAATCGGTTTCTCTTCATGCTCGCTGTCCCTACCATAATACGAGCCAACATCATCTCTATTAGACTTGTTCAGCAGCCTCCAAACTGGCCTATATGTAAATTCTTCCCCCCTACTCGCTTTCTATTCTCCATTCTCTTAATTGGATGGTTTTTAAAACAGCAGTTCTGATCAGGTCTCTTCTCCCAAATTGAAGAATCTTTCAATTACTTCCATTTGCTCTCTCTGTCTCTTTTTTTTTTAATTGTGCATTAGGTGGAAGTTAGCAGAGCAAATTAGATTCCCATTCGATAGTTTGTATGTAAAGTGTTCCATTTGCTCTAAGTAGAAAGTTTAAACTCTTTAACATGGGTCTCTAACTTTGTACAATTAATTTTCTTGCTTCCCACCACACAAAACAAAGTAAATAAAATACCCAGAAATCTCTTGGTTAACTTACCCTTCAAATCTCAGCCTATTTATGCCATTTCTGAGGGCTTCCCCCACCCCCGCCATGTACCTCTCCCCCGTGCACCCTGTAACACTTCTAGTTTTTTAACGACCATCCAACTTCTAATTGTTTGTTTTAAGGTAAATATCCTATACTTTATATGGTCAGGAAAAGAATAGCAAGGGTGCATATGGCACCTACCGGATGCTGGCACTGCTGTAAGCACTTTCATTTTAACTCATTTAATCCTCACGGCATCCTTTGAATGTAAGTACTGTCACCCCATTTTTCAGATCGAGAAATTGAAGCCTAGAAAGGTTAAATAATGTATCCAGGATCGCCCAGCTAGTAAGTGGCAGAATCAGGATTTGAACCTCAGCCTTCTGGCTCTAGAACCTGTGCTTCTAACCACTATTGGGGCTACCTGACCTGTCGTACTTAGTTGCTGATTCCCTAGTGTTCCTCACTGTTAGTTTCTATGGGTTTGTTTAGAAATGAAACTTGAAACTTACTGTTAGTCATTAACCTTCCTTCTACTTGTCTAGTCCAGGTAAAAGCCAAACAAACTTTAAAATGTAGACATAATATGTATGGTTGCTCTTAATTATATTTTTGGCAAACTTTTTCATTCCAACCTGCCCTGCTCCTGCAGCTCCCCCCTCCACCCCCTACTCTGCAGCTCTTTGAGAAGGTGTACTGGTTCGTGTCTTTAGGGAAGCCAGGCCAGTTTGGGTCTGTATGAGGAGCATTGTAGGGACAAAACTTCTACAGAAACCACATTGTAACTCCAAACCATTTCTACATACAAATTAATGTATGTTTATATAGAAAAGCTTTTTTTCTAAGTCACTTTTACAATTAGAACAAATAATTTTAATTACATAAACTATAAATGTGCCTAAGTGCATAAGTATTCAGATGGGGTTTTGAAGCATAGAGAGGTTAAGTAATTTATTCAGATCACACAGCTAGTAAGTGGCAGAATCAGGATTTGACCTAGGCATTCTGGCTGTAGAACCTGGGCTCCTAACCACTAGTTGGGCTGCCTGACTTTTCTTGGAAAGCATTAGCAATTATTGTTCTCTTTGCTTTGCTACTCTATGCTTTTGATGAATTTGTCTACCTACAGCCTCAAGAAGAAAAAGTTGAGCCGTGTGTGAGTATTATCTTTGATGAATAGAGTAAAAAATAGTGACTGGGAGCCACATTTTTAGAGGGACGTTGACAAACTACATTTAGGAGAATAATATCCAGGAAGTGAAGGCTCTGGAAAACGTGCTGGACGAGGAATGATTAGGGTATCTGAACATGTTTTGCCTGGAAAAGACAAAACAGAGTAAAACGGTAGATGCTGTGAGATTTGAGGGACTGTGTGTGGGGGAGGTGTTAGATTTACTTCACATCGCTCTAGTAGGCAGAACCAGAACTAGTAGGCGGAAATATTAGAGATTTGAGTCATCTAATTATAAAGAATTACTTTCTAAAAGAGCAATTCCAAACTGGAATGGACTGTCATGTGATAGTAAGTTCTCTGTCATGGTAGGAAATTCTATAGGCGCCAGTGTGGACTAGTCAGTCAGCTGTTAGGTACCTGTTCCATAATCTGGGAGTTGCTTGAAAAAGTGGACAGAATGTCCGTTTCATTGAATTTATTCCCATAGCCGCTCATTTTTATACTGAAATCTTATGCTTGTAACTGACACTTTTAACACCCCCCCCCCAATTTTTTTATGTAGGATGTTTTTCTTCTTCCCTTGAGGTATTTTAGATATTTCTGAATAAAAAGGAAAATTAAAGAAATAATTCAACATCTTTATAACAGAGGAAATCATTAAAATTGATACTTCAGAAAATAAAAAATGAAGCTATCTAGTTACCTCCCATTTCACCTGTTGAGCCTGGTGTTAGCACTTGTGACTGTTAGACTCCCTTAGTGCTCACTAAGTACTTTATGATTTGATATTGTCACCTAATTAGATTTTTGATATCGTATTGCCTTTTGAAAGCTTTTTATGAATCTTTTTAATTAGAGGATTCTGACCTCTTTAACATTGAAAATTGGAATAAGACCAATGTCATCACTCAGTCATAAGAAGTCAGTAGAAATACCCATTAGAGAGTGAAATCTAGAGCAGATTAAATAAAAAGCAGTTGTCAGAAATCTGTAAAAAGCTTTTAACAGAGAAATATACTAATCTCATATGTCAGCAGATGATTTGAAAGAGAAAAGCTAGATAACAGAGACCTTTCATTAATCATTTTTTTACTTTAAAAGTTTTGGTAATTTTGATACCCTTTTATTGTATCCACGATTTAATATATCCCTCTTTCTTCAGAATTACTGAATGACACATTCCTCGAGTACTGCTGAATTTTTATTTATTTACTACCTTAATAGTAATAGTAATATTCAGTGGTTATTGATTGCTAACCATGTGTCTAGGCACTCTGATAGATGCTTGATCATAATACCTTTAATTCTTAAAATGGCCCTGAAGGCAGGCACTATTATCCTCATTTTACCAGTAAGGTAAAATGGCTCTGAGTGGCTCAGAGAAGTTGTATCTTGACTGAGCTCATTTGAAGCCAGATTTTTCTTAAAGCCCAGTTCTTTCCACCCCATCAGCTTGCCTTTGGGTAAACAGGAAGGTTGGACTCTCTCATCAGGTACCTCCATACACATTCCTGAATTCTTTTCAATAGAAGAAATACCATCATACATGCTCTCTAAGTCTGATCTTAGACATTAATTTGCCTTGTTTTTTAGTTAGTGACCATCTCTGTTGAAGTCTCCAATTCTGTTAAAAGCTAATGGAACCATAGGCGAGTTTTAGACCAGAAAGGAGGCTGCCGCTCTTCGCTCCACCTTGGGCTTTGCTTGTCTGTAAGAAAAGAAGAGAGATGACCCATTATGGCTCAGTCCAGCTGCCTCCTTCAAGGACCGGAACTTAACAAAGCATTTAAATCATTTTGATGGAAATATTTCTAAACTATATTGTAATGTGAACCTGCTATGTACATAGTTTAAACATTTCCGGTGAGCTCAGGGGATAAAATTAGGCCTATTATACCTTAAAAGTTGACTGAGGTGTAACTGAGACAGTTTGCCCTCCACCAAGTACTCTCAGACGTCTCTAAATTTCAAAGTCACGTTTCTGTGTGTCATGGTTCTAGATATCTTTGATGCTATACTAATAACCTCTCTCTCTGCTACTACTCCCGAATTATTTTGTCCTAAGTTGCTGTGGGCTAGGAGATCATGACAATTGGAGTTTTCTCAAACAAATAAGAGTAAATTGATTCTGAGTGAGACCTGAGGGCATCTCTTACAAATAAACGTATTGAACTTTAGTGTCACGTTTTTGAACTTTTCACTGGGTAGATGAAGTTGTCAGATAAGTGTCTAACATAGAAAGTATTTTTGTAATTCTTTTAATTAAACAGAGAAGAAGATACAGAAAATGAAAATGAGAAGAAAATTTGGTACTACAGCACAAAGGTCCAGCTTGCAGAATTAATTGACTGTCTAGACAAAGATTACTGGGAAGCAGAACTTTGCAAAATTCTAGAAGAAATGCGTGAGGAAATCCATCGGCACATGGACATCACCGAAGACCTGACCAATAAGGCTCGAGGCAGTAACAAATCCTTTCTGGCTGCAGCGAATGGTGAGAGGGAAATTTTTTGGTTTTATTTTTTGTTATATTTGAGATAAACTCTTGCTATGAAATCACTACGAAACTTAAAAATATAGTTAAAATTTTCAGTAAATATATTTTAATTATCTGTATTTCATTTTCTCAAGAAAACCTTGTTCACACCAATGTAAATTAGAAATGGTATGCATTTTACTGTTTTATATCTTGTCTTGGTCATTACTGATATTTCCCAAATTGTTTTTTTTCTTTAATTCAAATGTCTTATTAAGCCTTTTTTGAGAGTCCTATTTTTAATTATAAGAAATATTTTTAAAATTTATTCTTTGCTTTCTTTATTTCAGTAAACTTTTAATTTTAGAATAGTTTTAGATTTACAAAAAAGTTGCAGAGATAATACAGAAGGTTTCCATATACCTTGCACCTGGTTTCCCTATTATTAACATTCTCCATTAATATGGTACCTTTGTCACGATTAATGAACCAATTTTGATACGTTGTTATTATCTGAAGTTCATACTTTATTCAGATTTCTTTAGTTTTTACCTAATGTCCTTTTTCTGTTGAATGATCCCATCCAGGACACCACATTACATTCAGTAGTCATGTCTCTTTAGGCACCTCTAGACTCAAGACTTTCCTTGTTATTCATGGTCTTGATGGTTTTGAAGAATACTGGTCAGATATTTTGTAGAATGTCCCTTAATATGGGTTTGTTTTATGTTCTTCTCATGATTTACACAGGGGTTATGGTTTTTTTGAGGGGGAGTCCCTGTGTAGCACAAATGGTTAAGCATTCAGCTGCTAAAGGAAAGGTTGACAGTTCCTGTCCATGCAGAGGCAACTCAGAAGAAAGTTCTTGTGATCTGCTTCTGAAAACTCCACCATTGAAAACCCTATGGAGTACAGTTCCACTGTGACACATAAGGGATTGCCATGAGTCAGGATCAACTTGACAGCAACTGGTTTGGTTTTTGTATGGGTTTTTGCGAGGAAGACCGCAGAAGTGAAGTACCATTTTAATCACGTCATATCAAGGGTACATGCTGTCAACATGATTTATTGCTGATAATGTTAACCTTGATCACCGGGTCGGGGTAGTGTTTGTCAGGTTTCTCCACTGAAAAGCTTCCCCCCCACCCCTTTCATACTATACTTTTGGAAGGAAGTCATCATGTGTGCAGCCCACACTTAAGACGCAGGCAGTTAGGCTCCATCTCTTCTTAGAGGGTGGAGTATCTGCATAAATTATTTGGAATTCTGTACAGGAGATTTGTCTATTCCCCCATTTATTTATTCAGTCATTTATGTCTGTATGGATTCATGTATATTCCCTTTATACTATGGATTATAATTCAGTAGTATGTTATTTATTTTGTTACTCAACTCTTTACTTTTTAAAATGTAATAAAATGTATACAATATTTTTTCAAAGTTTAAATATAAAAAGTATGCAGTGAAAAGTGATTTTCTCTCTGTTCATAATTTCTCACCTTTCCCTTTTCCAGATGCAGCCATTATTGCCTTTTTTTTTTTTTTTAAATCCTACCAGAGATACTCTGTGCATGTTTAATAAGTATCATCTGTGTTTTTTATTAGTCCCTTTTAATTTAGGTAAGATTCTGAAAGTGCACTTCACTTAACTGCCTGGTTCTGCTCTTCTGCATACATTATCTCCTATCCATATAAACCTGTTAATTTTTCCCATTCTCCATTTATTGAAAAATTTTCCCGTTCTCCATTTGTTTAAAAATAGAATGTGTATACTTAATAAATGTATTCAGTTCAGCTGTATCCAGGCTTGTTCTCACACACTATACATCACTATTCTCTTGAGTTCATACATATTTTTAGAGAATGATAGGCATGCTGTAGCGTATAAATACTGTTGCGCACAAATATACTTGGTCTTCAGAAGTAAGCAGATGTAGTTTTTGAGATTATATTTAGTCATACCTGATAGTTGGAAGTATTTCTCTATTAGATATGCTTAGAAGAATGTGTAATATTTCCTTCAGAAAAGTTTAAGTCTTCAGAATTCTTTGGGAGGTCATTAATTGCAATAATATAATTCTGTTCTCATTGCCTCCCCTCCATACTATAGATCAAATAATAAGTTTTATTAATTTCAGTGAGGTTACTTCCTTTACTTAATTTCTTTTCATGAAGTAAGGCATTAAAATTGACAATTCCTTTTGCTCTTCTGTATCCTCAGCTTTTAGTATGTTAAAAAAGAACCATCTCCAGTCCCCTGAAAGGCAGTGTGTAGTGTGTTTTTTATCAAGAATGTTGAATTACAGATTTTTCCGGAGTGAGCTTGTCTGGGTATAATTTATGTATACAGGGTCATCTTAACTAAGAAACAAACATAGCAGGAGTGTACTATGTAAAAATGTTTAGTGGTTTGATTTAGGGGAAAGTAATAAAAATTAAAATGTCCAATGTAGGAAAATTGATTAATTTTGTTAAAAACTCTCGTGATAAAACACTGTATATTGAAGAACTAAATAAGGTACCGTGCAAAAGCAGTACCTGGGTCATTGAGGTAAATTCCCTTCCTCTGAATAACCGATTGGAAACCCTGGTGGCATAGTTGTTAAGTGCCATGGCTGCTAACCAAAAGGTCGGCAGTTTGAATCCACGAGGCGCTGCTTGGAAACTCTATGGGGTAGTTCTACTCTGTCCTGTAGGGTCAGTATGAGTCAGAATCGACTCGACAGCAACGGGTTAAATAACCAATTGGATAAAAAGACCAGCTTTTATCATTAAAAATAACCAATTAGCATGGCAAAATTAGAGTTGGTTTCTTTTTTATATTTTTCAAATTTCCTACAATGAGCATGTTAAATTTCAATATAATTTAGCATGTAATGTGCTTTATAAAATTAGTTAAACCTTTTGTAGTAATCAAGAACAGCAGAGAGTTTTGAGCTTTAGGCTATAATGTATTCTTAGAAAGTTAGGAGGCCAAACTGTGCTGTGAAACCACCTTGTAGCCTGCAGTGACCCTGTTAGTACTACATGGAGTCCATTTTGGATTTAATGGTGGCGTCTAGGAAAAAAGTAACATTCTTTTTGTTTTTTGTTGTTGTTAAGGTATAACCAACCTGGTACTAGAGGTGGAGGGATTCATAAGAGTTGAAAATTGATGGAGAAGACAAGGGGAAAGTAACGTTTTTGAGTATCTACTGTGAGCTAGGTGTTCAACTAGGTGTTTTACAAGCCTTTAAACCTCTCAGCAACTTTGTAAGGAGTATATATAAGGAGTGGATTGTAATGAAGTGAACATTCAGGTAGAAGAGTTCTCCATTAAAACACCATTCCCACAACTGTTACCTTTATGTACTCTCTCTGAGAACCAAAATCTTGGCTATTATAGTTTAGAACTACCTAGTCCAGATAAATACCCATGATAATATCTAGTGGTGTTCTTTAACTTGAGGTTTTATGAGATGAAAACAACAGAAACTACCAAGGTTCTGAAAATAGCCGAGAATAATTTACAGCATCATAACAGTAATTTCAGAATCATAACCTGTTCTGATGACTTTGACTTGACATTTCTAACCTCCAAATAGTAAGAATTCATTCAAATTTATGTACCCTGGTTTTTATATACCTGTATGTCCAGTTTGGAGATATACCCTAGTGGTACATTGGTTAAGCATTCGTCTGCTTACCAAGGTCGAGAGTTTGACTCCACCAGCGGCTCCTTGGAAGCCCTGTGGGGCAGTTCTCCCCTGTCCTATAGGGTCGCTGTAAGTTGGAATCAACTCTACGACAACAAGTTTACATGTCCGCTTTAGGATAGTTTAATTCTGTTTTTGGTAGTTGAATTTTTCTTTTTCATTTTCCCAGTATTTTATGAACATTGTCAAATATATCAAAAGTTTGAAAGATTTATGCAATGCCCATCATCTTCAGTCTGCAATTAAAATTTTATTGTATTTGCTTTATCACATATCTATATGGTAATTGTGTTTTGGCTTTTTGTTTTTGTTTCTCTCATTAAACATTGTTTTAATGGGTCTCAAAATTTTATGACAGATTTTCTATCATGTTTCCATTTTAAAAGTACTGACTTTAGAAACTAATAAAACTGCCACATACAAAAACAAATTGTCCACAGAACATTCCTTTCCTTCTAAAGTTTTTATGATGTATTGTTGTCATTAAACCAGTCTTTTACTATTAAACTTAAATGACCAATTGAGGCAAACAGTTCTGAGACAGTTCTTCCACTACTGATGAAGACTGAGGTGGCAGGTGTTACGGACAGAATTCAGTAATTGTGTTTTACAATACTTCATTTCACTTGTTAGAAGGAATTTTTTTTTTAATACTTTTTTAAAGTAGAGATGGTTTTTAAAGCCTTTAGATTAATTCCCTCTGTTTAGTTTTAAAATAGTCATACCAAATATAGAATACATATATTTATAAAATACATGTATTTGCTGTAGATCAGATACAACCTAAACTGGTTGTTTTTTTTCCTGCCATCTTTTAATGTCTTTCCCTCTCCGTAACTTTCTTGGTCTCTTTTTATTATGGTATGGTTACCTTGAGTTTTTGAACCCAAAAACAGCGCTCCCAAAACCCACTGTTGTTGAGTCAATTCCAGCTCATAGTGACCCTGTAGGACTGGGTAGAACTGCCTCATAGGGTTTCCAAGGCTGTAAATCTTTATGGAAACAGACTGCCACATCTTTCTCCTGTGGAGCAGCTGGTGGGTTCAAACCACCAACCTTTCAATTAGCAGCTAAGTGCTTAACCACTGCACCACTAGGACTCCTTGAACAGTACACATAGACTGATAAATATAAGTGTTTTTGATAAGATGGGCGACAGGATAGAGTATTTGAAATTAGAACCTTCCTAGAAAATCTGAGACCTGTGGTCATTCATACCTATGCTTTTCATCTAATATAGGTGGTCTAAACTTAGTAGGTGTTTTGTTTTATTATTACTATTATTTTAATGTTTGATTCTCATTAAATGGCACAGGAAAATAG